CACAGTCATATGTGTACAAAGAGTACAGCAGGGGGCTCAGAACACACCCCTGGGGGCTCCAGTGCTGAGAGTGGTGGAGGCTGAGACATGTCCGCCCATCCTTACTGCCTGTGGTCTGCCAGTTAGGAAGTTGGAGATCCACTGACACATAGATGAGCTGAGTCCCAGATGCTCCAGCTTGGTGGTGAGTGTGGAGGGAATTATGGTGTTAAATGCAGAGCTGTAGTCTATGAAGAGCATTTTAACATAATTCCCCCTTCTAGTGTCCAAGTGAGTGAGTGATGTGTGGAGGAGATGAGAGATGGCATCGTCTGTGGAACGATTTGGACGGTAAGCGAACTGTAGTGGGTCCAGTGTGTCTGGTAGTGAAGAAATGATGAAGTCTCTGACCAGGCGTTCAAAGCACTTCATCACTACTGAGGTGAGGGCTACAGGGCGATAGTCATTGAGAGAAGCAGGGTGGGGTTTCTTCGGGACAGGAACAATGATGGACTCTTTGAAGCATGTGGGGATCACCGACTGAGATAAAGAGATGTTGAATATCTCAGTGAACACAGGAGCTAGCTGGTATGCGCAGTCTCTTAGGATACGACCTGGGATGCCGTCTGGTCCTGCTGCTTTCCTGGTGTTCACTCTCTTGAAGGCTCTCCTTACTTCATGCTCGGAGATGACGAGCACGTTTCCGGTGCTGGCAGTATCTTCCTGTCTGCAGCCGTTAGCGCCGCTAACACTAGCATTGTTGGAGACCTTAGCTGCAGCCTCGAAGCGAGCATAGAAAGTGTTCAGCTCGTCTGCCAGAGTCACGGCCGCGTTCGTCATACCGGTTGTTGGTGTTTTATAGTCCGTTATTGTCCTTAGTCCCCGCCACAGGCTCCTAGAGTCACTCTGTTGGAGTTGTGACTCTAGTTTCCTCCCGTAGCGCTGCTTCGCCTCTTTCACCGCCCTCCGCACGTTATATGACGCGGCTTTGTACGGGTCCATGTCCCCCGTTGTGAGTCCCGTGTTGTAGGCAGCGGTGCGGGATCTCAGAGCGTTGCGGATGGTTTTATCCACCCACGGCTTCTGGTTGGGAAACGTTGTGATAGTCTTTGTCTCCACGGTATCATCCGCTAGTTTCCCGATGAATCCCACAACCGCTTCCGTAAACACGTTGACGTCATCGTCGGAGCTGTTTCTGAACATGCCCCAGTCTGCGTCATCGAGTGCGTCCTGTAACGCGGCCACCGATTGATCCGTCCAGCGCGCGACCTTCCTCTGAACCGGAACTTCCTGTTTTAGCCTTTGTTTGTATTTTGGCATGAGGAAGATGGCGGCGTGATCAGATTTGCCAAACGGGGGGCGGGATTGTGCCTTGTAGCCGTCCTTGACCATAGTGTAGCAGTGGTCCAGTGTCCTTTCACCCCTGGTGGGGCAGGTGATGTGTTGATAAAAGTTCGGCGCTGCGCGTTTGAGGTTGGCGCTATTAAAGTCCCCCGTCACAATAAGCGCAGCGTCCCGGTGTTGTGTCTGGTGCTGTGTGAGTGCCTCATGCAGCTCGCATAAGGCGGTGACCGTGTCCGCTTGTGGTGGAATATAAACAGCACTTACAATGACCGATGTAAATTCCCGAGGTAGATAAAAAGGACGACACATGATGGACAGTAGTTCCAGATTTGGTGTGCAGGAGCGTGTGAGAGGAACAACGTTCGCACTGTTGCACCAGTTGTTGTTCACCATTAAACACACGCCGCCTCCCCTTGACTTCCCCGAGTCCCGTGTCCTGTCCATGCGGTGAACCGAGAAGAACTCGGCCGGCTGGATGGCGTGGTCCGGCACCGCTGGGTTCAGCCATGTCTCGGTGAAGCAGAGGAGATTGCAGTCCCGAATGTCTCTCTGGAACTTTATCCTGGCCCTGAGGTCGTCAAGCTTGTTCTCCAGTGACTGGACGTTGGCGAGCAGGATGCTAGGCAGAGGTGTGCACGAGCTCTCAGCCTGTTCCTGACGCCGGCTCGCTTCCCTCTAGGCCGCCGCCGCTTCCCTTTGTTCTCCCTCGAGATCTCACTCGGCCAGCTCGGATCCGGAGTTAAAAACTTCGAATTGTGAGTACATTGTATACCAATAGAAACAAGAGTGTCACTGTCATACCTAATGTACCCAATGGTGATGATTTTGCCGATTTAGAAACGCTGAAAACTAACTTAAAAAACAAAGTCAAAGAAAAAGTGGTCGGAGCAGTCGTGACGGCAGCCGACCTCACCGGCGCCATCTTATGATCTATGATCTTATGAATATAAAGAATTTGAATATTTGGTTGGACTCATCTGGTTGTGTCAGGGCTCTGCTTTGCAGTGTCATGTTCTGCTGCTCCTGAGGCTGATGTTCAAGGATTATAAGAGAGGACGAGTGTTACGAGTTCAAAATTGGGGATGGATACAAGAGGAAAAAAACCACAATAACAACACTGGTCCGGCTGGGTTGAGTCAAACGATGATTTTAATGATCACACGCGTGGGAGATGGACACTGTATGCAGACAGCCTCAGATCTCAAAAATGGTGGAGCATTGCTCAAACTTTTATAGCCTCTGGTGCCCCCATCTAATCATAAAAGCCTAAACATTCACATTCTTTTCTCTCACACGGCGCCTAAGCTACGACCTTGGCTCGCCGTTTATCTGCTCCTGCTGAGATGGGGCAGAAAACTCCAGCATGTTCTGTTCTCTTCTAATCAGACAAATAAGGCGATGACTTTCTGCGAACAGTATTTTTCTTATAACTCAGCAGTATAATGCATCAAAAACAATATCCTTCATTCACAATAAATCAGCAGTTTAATGTAATGCAAATCAGTTTAACTAATGCAATAGTTATCAGCTTCTTCTAATTCAGGAGAATAATGCAAACTAAAACTACATAATAATTCACAATCTTTAATTAGGGGTCTAACATGGCATAAAATAATATTATAATTCAACACGAGGTAGCTGAGAACATTATTGCCGAGGCCACAAAAACGCCAGCTGAAAGTTCATCCCACAAGAATTGTTATTTTATACTTCAAATAGTTTTCATTTTAATCATCACAACCTGCATCCTAACAAATCATAGAGGTGTAACAGTGTGTGGCTCCCTCTAGTGGATGTTGTGGAGTATTCTGTTGTCTTTGCTCCAAAGGTTTTTGTACAGAGTTTTGCTGTTTCCTGTCACTGTGGGCTGCAGAGCACAGTAGTACACAGCAGAGTCAGACACTGCAGCAGAGGAGATGCTCATCTTGATTTCTGTTCCCTTCACTTGAATCTTCATTCCAGGAACTTTTTCTACTCCTACTGATCCTGAAAGTGAGTGTGAGATCAGGAACTCTGGAGGTTTTCCTGGATGTTGTCGATACCAGAAGAAATAATTAGCACCTGTGGTGTATTTGTAGGTCAGAGTAACTGTGCTGCCTTCTACACTGGACTCTTCATCTTTGACTGGAGTGAGCTGATCACATGTGACACCTGAAGGAAGAGAGAACGTTTTCAATCAATAATTGACGTTAATGAATCATTGAATTGAACATAGTTTCCTGTGTAAGTGAGCAGACCTGTGAGAGTGAGAAGAATCAGAGGAAACACACAGTGATGTAATGACAGCATGTTGAGGAACATAAAGTTTGTTTTGTGTTGAACTCTGTTGAATGTGGAGGTTTTTCTCTCTTCTATAGTTCAGTAACAGCTCAGCTCCTCCCTGAATCTCTGCTCCTCCTCTCTGCTCTGTGTTTGCTGTGTTGCTCAAAGACAGTAATTAGTTCAGGACATGATTTAGTTACATAAAGGTAATAAATAAGTGTGTAATTAATAAATATTGTAAGTAAATTTATTCTAAAATGTTTTGGCTTTGAAATCTGATCAGAGGAAGACGTGTGTCACAAATGATCTCTGTTGTGTTATGCACTGAGCAACAGTAGCGTTTGGCCATGACCCTGTCTTTGGCATATCTTCTCCGGTAATGTTGTGAACAAATGTTTCAGCAGGAGTAAAAGAGGAAGCTCATGTACATGCTCGTGCCTTGGGAAACTTTCATCTTTGTGAGCATTAATATGTTCAGATAGAACGTGGATATGTCTTTGACACCACCTTTTAGGTCATGTAATGTAATGTGCATGTTTTTAAAGTAGGTTAATTATTAAGTCTGGCATTGACGTGTGTATTAGCGAGGGATTTCTTTTTCATACAAAAGAAAAAAGCCTTGAGAAGGAAAAGGTTTATAAAGAGCTTCAGTAAAATGAAGAAAAACAAGACTTGCTCCATTTATCAGCTTCAGCTTCCTGCTTCTCATAAAGCACTTTTCTACTTGAGCGCTCAGAGTGCTTCATACAACAGCCTCGTTCACCCTTTCACACACATTTATACTCAGAGCAATTTCAGGTTAATCAAAGCCTCCCGTAAACATCTGTTTTCTAGTTGTAATCTGCTGAATGAATCATCTGCAAGAGATAAAATCATCTGTTAAAATATTCTTAATATTCTGTGAGCAAACAAAACAGAGAAAGATGAGTGTTTGGTTTGAAACAGGAATGTTCCCACGGCTGTGTTTCTTCCAGCTCTGCTGCTCTGCTGCTGCATGACAGGCTTCACCTGAGCTGAACACTGTGATTACAAGACTCAGGAGACTCGTGACGTTATTGTAGCTGCTGAAGTTCGCTGTCACAGCTGTGGCTCATTCTCTCAGAGTCTACAGAGGTTTAACAGACTGTGGCTCCCTCTAGTGGATGTTGTGGAGTATTCTGTTGTCTTTGCTCCAAAGGTTTTTGTACAGAGTTTTGCTGTTTCCTGTCACTGTGGGCCTCACAGCACAGTAGTACACAGCAGAGTCAGACACTGCAGCAGAGGAGATCTGAAGGTTCAGACCGTTTCTGTCATCGACCATTCTGACAGAAAGTTTGGAATTTGTTGTGTTTTGTGTTCCAAAGTTAAAGGTCAGGAACTCTGGTGGTTTTCCAGGATATTGTCGATACCAGTAGAACTGATCACCTCCAGCTGCTTGTCTGGAGTATCTGTAGGACAGAGTAGCTGTGCTGCCTTCCAAACTGGACTCTTCAGCTTTGCTGGCAGTGAGTTGTTGACAGCTGACACCTAAAGAAACAGAAATCTGTAAATATTATACAAAGAAATCGTGAATAATAATTAAAATATTAGGATGAAGTTTTTTCACATGTACCTGTTAGAATCATGATGATTAACAGAGAAGTTTCATAACAGCCCAACAACAACATGTTGGACTGAATCTTCTGTGTTGAATGTGGAGGTTTCTCTGTCTCGTCTGCTCTTCAGTCGCAGCTCAGCTCCTCCCTGAATCTGTGTCTCCTCTGGTTTTTATTTCCTGATCAAATCTTGTCACCATGAGACTTTTCTGTGTTCTAACACTCACCTATGCAGTGAGAGAAAAGTACAAACAGGTAAAGGAACATGTTTCAGGTGCTGAAGTCACACAGCAGATGAACAAATTCAGCAGAATGAAAAGACTAAGCAGCCTCTCTGCTGCACAGCCTTCTCCTCAACATCAGGCTGGAGTTCTGCAGAAGAGACCATCTCATTGGCTGAGTTCAGCATCAGTGGGTGGAGCCAGACAGAAACCTGTTTAGAGTCTTTATGAACAGCGAAACATCTGCTGGTGTTAAAAGAAACTAAAGAGGTGCAGTTACAAGTACAAGTACATCCAGACAGTGACTTTTACGGCTGGCTTCTCCACATCAGTGTCTGCACAAGTTTCCCGTTCAGACTGTAAAGTTTGGGGAGGAGAGGATTCCCTGGAATCATCAGTGACAGTGAATTCACTGATAACTACACAATTATTTGACAGCAGGGAAAAAAGCATATCTGAACCTGTGTTTATGTTCGGCTGTGATAGTTGTAGCAGTCAGACAGTGAGTGAGAGAGACAATCTGCTGTGTACTTAGAAGCCATTCTTTCTGCTTCTGTTCTGATTCTGAGGTAATTTGGGTTGAACCCAGGACTGTATCGGCGTTGGCTGAATAGCAGTGGTGTTCACCTTGCGGTGTCAGAACACACAGGACGCACAAATAAGGTTATTCCGTCTTTACTGTGATTCTGTAGCTTAACAGCGCAGCACAGCAGCACAGTAATGCAACCGCAGGCTTTCAGAGGATGTACAAGAACTCGTAGGTGGGGGGGCTGTTAGCTGTTAGCTAACAAGAGCAGAACATATACAAAATACTGAATATAACAAACATTTAAGTCATGAATTAAGATTCATGAGCTTTCTTCCAGTCTGACCAGAACTACAAATGGAAAGTCCGATATGAAGATCTCCATGCACTACTCAGAAAACCTTACAGTCCATGACATTAATTGCCAACACACCCAACAACACAAAACAGCCAATCAACCAAAGCGGTCGCCCCATGATCGTAAGGTCAGGGGTTCGAATCCCCTGAACGGCTACCCTGAGGTAACCCTGAGCAAGGTACCATCCCCACACAGTGCTCCCCGGGCGCTGCACTGGTGTCTGCCCACTGCTTCACTGAGTGAATTTCCCCACGGGGATCAATGCAAAGTGTGCATTATTATTATTGTGTACAACATTAGCAGCATGAACTAGCCACACAGTTGAACAGGCCAATACACATTGCACTTCTACATCCACTAAATGCCTAAAAGACTAAAGCTGTCCTTTCCAGGCAGGGCTCCACGTCCACTCAGTTCTTTAGCAACGCGCACGACTCACACTGTGTGTCGACATCCCCCGCTGAGTCAGTCCGCTCAAACTCTGATCCCTGGAACATGTGTTCAATAGTGCACCTGTGCCCTCTCGCCACAAGGGGGCTCCCACACACAGTTGACAGCCTTTCCAACACAGAGGACAGATTCTGTAAAATATCGGCTGCACATGATCTTGGGTCTGATTATTGTAGGGTCTACCTCACAATATAAAGCACCTTGAGGGACTGTTGTTGAGATTTGGTGCGATTAATAATGTTTGAACTTTTAAGGTTGTTCAACATTCGTAGTTCTGTTTTGCATTTTGGAACATTTAGTTGTTTATTATAATGCAGTCTTAAGGCTTTACATTACATATTTTGACTTTGTGTATCTGTGTTGGTAGGCAGGTTGGACTCAAATATATGATTTGTAAAGTTCATTGGAGGCGTATAGTGCTCCAGGGACTCCAGGGAGGAAAGGAGTCCACACAACACTCTCTCAACTCAGGGTTTGTCTTACCACACACCTGGGAAGATCAAAACCAGGAGTCTACACATAAGAAACACACAGCAAGTATCTTGAAGCATCAGAAGCAGTACAAACACTGAGCAGGAGGAGCCAGGGCTTCACTAACTCTAATCCAACAGTCCAGTGAAGAATGACAGCCAGCTCAATTCTGCATTTGAGATCATCGGAGACACGTGGGTCAGGTCAGAGGCAGCAAGCTGAGACGAGGCCCACTCAGGAACACAAACAACAACAAAGGAACACAAACAACAACAAAGGAACACAAACAACAACAAAGGAACACAGACAGAGGAGAGAGAGAAAACTAAAGTCGAGAGACAGACAGCAAACAAACCGAGAAATCAGCTGGAGACGACTGAGACCATCACATTTGGCTTTTAATTCAATGTAGGTTTAATAAGTTTTTAGATTGAGTTGAATCATTTCAGTTTAGTTTGCAATGTTTAAGAATATTTATTTTTAACTGTCATTGCCTGTTTTAGTTTTAGTCTTTATTAATTATTATTGCCTGGATGGCAAACGTCACATAAAGCCTCATAAAGCCTCATCCAAAACTTCTGGATGGATGCAAACTGCATTTCGTTGGCCTGTACCTGTGCATGTGCAATGACAATAAAGTTGAATTCTATTCTATTCTATTCTATTCTATTCTATAAAGCCTCATAAAGCACATTTTGAACGTTTTGATCAAATTCACAAATATTGAAACTACGGGGATTTCCACCGTTAATCTTTCTTTTTTCCAAGTTCACAAAATAATTTCAGGTCTAGTTTTTATTTTTGTTTTAGTTAACCAAAAGGCTTTTCACATGCAGATTATATTAGTTCACTATAATAACCGTGATATATACACAGTAAAGGTGTTCCTCAAAAATGCACTTTAAGTGTAAGAAGTGGACACGAGTGATGACGAGCAGGTCCAGATGCTTCTAAACACGGAAAGAAAGAAAGGAACATTTTGGCTTCATCTCAGGAGAAAGTAGCGCTGACTGAACTGGTTGTTGCTACTGCAGTGGTCTGAATGCTCCCATCTGTTAATCTACAGCAAAAATCATGACATTTCAAACGTGATCCAAATAAATTAGTTAATCCTGTGAAATTACACTGTCAGAGTGAGGGGCTGCATTAAAATAGGTGACTCTGAAAAATATTTGTAACACAAAGTATTTGCAGTAATGTTGTTCACCTGGTTCAGAGTTTAATTTGTTCCCTTTCCAATCGTGTCCTCTCGTGTCAGCTCCCCTAGTTAAAGGTTCTGACGTCCTGACGGTTGCTGGTCTAGTTTTACCTTCTGTCTCATTGCTTCTGATGATCCTCACCTGCGTCTTGTTACACTCTTGTTTCTCCTGATGCCTCTGACCCTCGGGTGTTTAAATAGTGCTGTTTATTCCTCAGTGTCTGTGTCAGTCTATGTTGACCTACCATCATGTGTTCCCTGGTTGACTGGAGATGAGTTTTCTGGAGTTCGTCTGTTGCTGCCTTCTTAGTCAGCAGTCTTATTGCACCGGTCACCCAGGTCACCACCATCACCGCTGCCACCCAGCATTCAAGCTGTGACGCTGGTGCCCAGCTTGTAAGAGCTCCTGTTATTCGGCATTCCAGACAGTTCCATGAATGAACCAGCTTCATCATTGGTGTGGTTGTGGTGGGAGGATGAGGAGCCATGCTCCCTCTTCCAGGAGGAAGAGTGTTCTTGTCACCGGTTCTCCCCGTGGTTCAGTCCAGATGAAGCCAGTGAATGTTGTGCCTGTTTACCCAGACTAGCTCAGTTAGGCACAACGAGAGCAGGCAAACCCTGAGAGTTTCCTGACCCCAGGCAACCAGCGCAGTGTCCGCAGCCTATCAATAAACACTGTTCCAGGTTTATGTAGACGACTTAGCTGCTGCTCCTCTCATTCAGTATTATTAAAGTGAAATTCTGTAGTCTGCATTTCATGTTGTGCAGCCTCATTTAACTACAGTTGGTGCTACAAGTTGTTGTATAAACTTCCTGAGATTAAAACCACTCGTGGCTCTGATCATGTTAATGACTATTACATATCTGGACTTCATATGATTGCTGGGTTTCTCTCTGCGTGTAATATTGTAGGGTCGACCTTACAATATAAAGCACCTTGAGGCGACTGTTGTTGTGATTTGGTGCTGTGTAAATAAAGTTGAATTCAATTTAAACATCATGATGAATTTCTCATCTAAAGCTCTCATTGAAAGTCTCCAGGTGAGGAAAAACGTGGTTGTTGTATCAGTGACTTTAAAATACTCGAAGCAGAAGAAACACACTTCACACAAAGCACATCAGTAAAGAAAACTGAAGATCAATATATATTTAGTCTCTATCACACAAAGAACATTGTTCAAGCAGGAATTTCTCTTTCTGATCAGCAGTGCAAAATATTTTCTCAGCCCCATGTCAGAAGAGCTTTGGTGCAGAGGTCAGCACCGTCACCTCACAGCAACAAAGTCCCGAGTCCAACTTCACCTTCATGTGTGGAGTTTGTATGTTCTCAGCTTGTTTGTTTGGATTCTCTCTGGGTGCTCCAGCTTCCTCTCACAGTCCAAAGACATGCAGTTAGTGGAATGAAGTTAATGTCAGCCCTGTCTCAGATTGGTGACCTGTCCAGCTTGGACCCTGGCTCACACTCTACGGTTGCTGGAAGCTTCAATCTTCAACGGATTGAAATTAAGAAGGAATCATTTAGAGGAGTTTAAATCATTGAATCCATGAATCTGAAAGTGTTTTGAGTGCAAGATGCAGACTGAAAGGTGTATTTAGCAGTGCTTCTCAGAGTTTTATACTGAACTAAGCACAGACTGACTGAAGAATTATGAAACCAAGCTTCAAATCCAGGATAGAGGTTGTTTGCTGTGCCAGCAGGACGGTCCACATACACTGCTACTCTGTTGGAGGAGAGCAGTGCACATGGACCGGCTTCATTATTCTCACTGAAGAATTATGAGACCAGACTCCAAATCCAGGATACAGAGGTTCAGTGAATGTGGTGTTGAAGGTGTGGAGGTGGATCAGAGAGTCCAAGAAGATATTGTAGAAGGACAGCGTGCCGGCAGGATGGTCCACATACACTGCTACTCTGTTGGAGACAACGTCTTTGGGGATGAAGGTTTCTGTGTTATTGTGCAAGACAGAGTAAGAGTAAGAGCAGTCCAGGCTCCAGGACTGACTGTTCAGTCCAAACAAGCAGTCATCACTGTGTCCTCTCCGTTTGATTCCTTTGTAGCTCACTGCTATAGAAACATATCCACTCCACTCAACCTCCCAGTAACAAGGACCAGTCAGCCCGTCTGTGCACAGCAGCTGAGGGCGGTCAAATCTCTCTGGATGATCAGGATATGGCTGCTGTGCATTCAAACGCATCACCTCTCTGTTGCTGTCAGACAGCTGGATCCATTTGTATACTGTGTTTGGGTCGATTGTGAGTTGATAGGAATCTGATAGAGAGAACAAATAAATCCAGCTGCAGTTATTGATCGATCATCTATTCGTTGATCGGCTCTTTGATGGTGACTCCTGATATCAGAGATATGAATGAGCGACACAGTAGTTTAAAGACGGTTGGATTTGTTTCCAAGAATCATCATAAAATCAAACGTACACTTCTTCAGATCCGAGCTCACCCGTCGGACGCCATCAGGCTCCACCCTGCAGGGAGAGGAGGGGTCAAACCAGCACAGTCGTTGGCAACATGCTAACATGGACATCATCACTCATACTGTCACAGAGGGAAGACTTCATGTAGCTCTTACATCTGCATAAAACAAACAGGCTGAGTGAAGGGATCTGTTCATACCTGTTTAGAGACTCCTTTCCTGCAGACCACTGCTTCACTTCTTCAGGTGCATCTTGAATCAGAATTGCTCTTTTAAAATCAAATATTACAATTTTCACAACACCTACATGTTTTGTTTTTTTGAATGAAACAGAACAAAAGTAGGAAGTCAAAGTGTTTTTTCCTCATATATCAGTTGAGTGGAAGCAGTAAAGCCACCAAGAGACTTTGATGTGCTGACATTCGTCCTCTGCTTGTCATGGTCATTTTTAGTCTACATAAACTACTGAAGAAGATTGATGGATTCAACGCATCCATCAGAATATAAATATGTGTGCATGTTAGATAGAAAGCTCTTATATAGAAAAGGTGAATGAGGCACGTTGTGTTGAGTTAAATAAGAACCAGTCCATTTACCGTTTATTCGATCTAAGCAGCTCTGGAAGACGGCGACTGGACCTCATGAAGCTTTTTGAAGAGGTTTCTCCTTTGGTGTTTAAACTCTAGTGGGAGTTGTCCACTTAAGAGGATCATTGGCACACTATTGATCATGTGCCTCATCACAAGATCCAAGTTATAAAAAAAGGTGTGGGTCATTATCAGCAGAGCTTTTGGATGAAACTATGGTGAAACCTTGCCTCACTCTATCATGTGACCCATTGAGACGCAAGATGTGAGTAGGGGTTGAGGTGCCTGGGAAGACTCAACATAACTGGAGCACGGATGGTACAGTTGTTGACAGCTGGTGTGTCGATCAGGTGAACTTCACAAACACAATGAAACACAAACACAATGAAACACTGTGAGCCATGCACCGGCTTCCTCAGAGCCTGGACCTCAATATTGAAGCCCTGTGGGATCATGGAGGACTCTCATATGGACTGATGCCACGCAGAACTGTCCACTGGGAACTTAATGTTGTGGGATGCTTTTCTGTTTTGTTCATCATCATCATCATCATTGCTCTTTAGTTCCATCAGTCGCTCATCGATGTGAATAAACCAGACTGAACATTTCATGCAGTCTCATGTGTCCTGTCATCCCAAAACAACACAATATCTTAAAGTCACATCAAAAACCTGTAACACTCACTTTGAAACACGTAGAAGCGCTTTGTCAGAGTGTCTCTCTCTTTGGTTGGCATCTGCTCAGATGGGAATTCTTCAAAGCTTTGCATGACCTGTTGGTTAGACTGCACTTAACATGATTCCATAGATAGATAGATAGATAGATAGATAGATAGATAGATAGATAGATAGATAGATAGATAGATAGATAGATAGATAGATAGATAGATAGATAGATAGATAGATAGATAGATAGATAGATAGATAGATAGATAGATAGATAGATAGATAGATAGATAGATAGATAGATAGATAGATAGATAGATAGATAGATAGATAGATAGATATGTATGTATTTGTGTATTCCATATATTCCACTTGCCAAACTTACCGTTCTGAATATTTCCTCAATGTCATCTCTAAGGCAGTGCTTTTTGACAGCCTCACAGATGTGTTGGATGAAGGCAGAACCGTATGTTTCATGAGTGTATGAACCTGTGTCTGCAAGCAAACAGAACCAGATCATATCTGTAGTTAGGCGGTGTTTGATTGTTCTAAATGTTACTTATTGGAGGGTGGTGCACTTACAAGTGGTGCTGGAATGAAAAATGATGAAATCCTTTTCATTGTGTGTCCGAGGACCTTTGACAGAGTTCACTGACAGAGATTCGATGTCGTCTGTGGGCACAAATTGTGTCCTATCAAGTAAATCCACCGATTCCTCCCCCACTGAAACAAACACACAGACTTACTGAAACGTGTCGATCTTTTACCTTTTCAAATGAACAAATATTAACAGTAAATTCATTGAAGATTCATTCATGCTGTTTGTTGGGTGTGTGAGGACAGATGAGAATCACCTCCTCTGCAGGCGTGAATAATGACGATCTTTGGTTTGTCCTTCAGTGCAGGACAGTTCTTTGAGTTTAAGTGCTGAAAGATTTGGTCAATTTCAAACTCCTCAGTTCCCGTGCCTCCATAACACACCAAAGTCACAAACACACTGTCTGTGAGGGCCAGTTTTGGGTGTTCAGAAAATTCTTTCAGAGGTTTATCGATCATCTGTGAGAAGAAATCCGTCACTGGATCATTTAACCAGTTTGTAAAACTGGGTGCAAGTGAAGAAACCTTTTCTGCTTTTAAAAGTTACCTTTGCAGTGATGTCCCCACATCTCACTACCTCATATCCAAGAGTTTGAAGTAGACTTTGCATGACTTTCTCATCTTTCGCAGCTCTACATTTGTATAAACTTGTATTAAACGTTTCAATGTTGATCAGCAGGGCGATGCGATTTGACTGTGATTGTTGAGTCACTGGATAAATCTGAGAGACCAAACAGAAACTCTTCAGATTATTTTAACACAAGCTGATTTTTTATGCAGTCATTTG